CCCCCCCCCCCCCCCATGTGCTTGGCCTGAGGACAGCTGACCAGGGGCCCGCCCTGGCCGAGGGAGGCATCACCGTGTACTCTGCTTCTCTCTGCAGATGACAAAGCTGAGAAGGGGGACGAGAAGGACCCAGCGGTGGTGACCCAGAGTGACGAGGCTCCTGCTGAGGAAGACCACCTGGGGCCCAACTGCTACTATGACAAGTCCAAGTCCTTCTTCGACAACATCTCTTCTGAGCTCAAGACCAGGTCAGGGGGCCTGGTGAGGGGGCCGGGCTTGGGGCTGGCGAGGCCTGGATGAGCTGGCAGGAAGAAACTCATTCTGCCTCAAAACTCCGGAGTCTGGGCCATGCTCTCTTGAAGACCAGACTCCCATCTAAGTTCAGGACAAACCTAAGATCCTCCTCCTGTTTCTGCCGTGTGAGTACACCGGTCCCGGTGGCGCCAGCAGGTGGCAGCGCGGAACCCCTGACAGTCACAGTCACCTGAGGGTCGGACCGAGGTCCGGCCTCCGCTTCCATCTTGGCTCTGCTACTCTTCTGTCCACTGAGGCTGAGTTCGGCACCATGCTCCCCAGCTGAGTGATGGGTCGTTCGGTCACACGCCGCCTTGTCCTGGCAGCCGACCCGGTGGCCTGAGGCCCTTGCTGCCTGCAGCAGCTGGCCTGCGTGTTCGGCTCCCGACTGCTTGAGACTGGGGACCTGGGCGTGCAGTTAGAGCCCCTGGAGACTGGTGCTCAGAGGTTACCCTGCGAGCTAGACGGTATAGAAGGGGCAGGCACAGAAACCCGTGTGCACTCATTCCGCAAATGGAGTGCCAGACACGCTGCTGGACATCGAGGGCACAGCACACGCTAGGGCCCTGCTGTCCTGTGTTTCAATCCCGGCAGGGAAAGTAGAGAGTACGTGTGCGGATAGGATAGAAACGCATCCGGGCACGGGCAGGAGGAGGCTGGGCAGGGCCTGGTGGGTGGGGGGGGGGGAGGTAAAGGTAAACCGAGTACGGAGGTGTCACACCGTGTGGTGCTGGGAGCGCTCGTGGGTGGACGGAGGAAGCTTCCGCACACGGGCCGCCTGCCAGGCGTCTGCTGCACGCCGGACCAGAGTCCCAAGAGAGGCGGTCAGGGATGAAGGGGGCGCGTGCGAGCAGGGCGAGTAGGTCACGGTGACGACCAGCTTGGGTACCGGGAGCTGTGGGCGGCTGTCCAGGTTGGAGCTGGGGGCGGTGCCGGTTGACCTCTACCCTGTCTCCGCTGAGGATGCCAAAGGCAGGCAGAGGGGCCGGTAGCCCACCCGGAGGCCTGTGCGGTAGTCCTGGGGCCTCGGAATCGGGTGGTGGCGGCGGCGGAGGAGAGCTCGGCTGCTGACTCTGCTTTGCAGGGGGAGCGGACCGGGTTTGCTGACAGGTTGTGAGGGGAACCACGATGACCGTCGGGGTTGCCGGGCTGGGCGGGTGGAGGGTGCAGCTGCTGGCTCTCTAAGCGAGGCCAGGGGGGCAGTGGAGCGGGAGCTCTGTGCCTGTAAGCGGACGTGGGGCCCTCATCTGGGACACAGAGGTGGGTGCTGGCCGCATCCTCAGTACGAAGGGCGCTGGGTGGTGCGTGGTGTCATTGCCGTGGCCCCACCGTCCCCAGGGTGTAAGCCTCATATTCTTGGAGATCCCGCTCCATCTAGCCCAGCCCTCTTCTCACATACTAGAAACTTCTCTGTGGAGGGAGGTCTCGGAACCTGCCTGGGCACTGCCTGGTGTCACGCACTCACCTGTCGATAAAGGCAGGAGAGTTCATGCTGGGCAGCCCCGCCCGGTGAGCAGCAGACCCCGTTGGCAGTGTGGCCGGGAGCACCCGCAGGGTGGTCTCTCTGGCTGCGGGGTCCTGACTGGGTCACCCCCTCTGATGGCTCCACCTGCCGGTCCTTTCCCCACACCCCCTCCCTGTGCTGGCTCAGGAAGCTGTGACCGGATGCCGGCTGCAGTCGGTCTCATGCTCCTGTCTGTGGTCCAGTTCTAGGCGGACTACGTGGGCCGAAGAGCGGAAGCTCAACACGGAGACTTTCGGGGTATCGGGAAGGTTTCTTCGTGGCCGTAGCTTCAGGGGTGGATTTCGAGGGGGCAGGGGCAACGGTACAACCCGCCGCAACCCAACTTCCCACCGAGCTGGGACCGGCAGGGTGTGAGGATGGGGCCGCAGGTGAGTGACGGAAGGGGGCTTCTGGACCCGGTGGTGGGAGGGCGCTGGGGCGGCACTGCCTGTGGGCACCCTCCTCGGGAAGAGCTTAGGAGCCCTGGAGCCGGCGGCTCTGGCTTCCAGCAAGAGGAGGAGCCTGCGGGAATTGGGGCCGAGATGAGGGCCCTGGCCCTCTGAATCACCTGGGGGGCTCCTAGGGACGGCAGGCCCCCCGAAGTGCGGGTCCGGGTGTGGGGGCTGGGCGCGTGCTACTGCAGTGTGGTCGGCCAGGACTGCCGTCACCAGCTGGCCTCCCTGCCCCGCAGGGACCCCCAGGTGCGCATGAAAAAGTCCCATCCACCTGTGTGCCCCGTGGGTCTGGGTGGGCAGTGGGCTACAGGTGTGCCCAGTGTGTACAAAGGTGATTTTCATGGTTGATGGGGACTGGAAAGTCTGGGGAGCCCTGGGCTGACTGGGGTGGGAGGGAGGCTGAGCACCCTCGTTCTCCCCAGGACCCTGTGTGCCTGGCTCCTGCCGGGGGGGGGCGGGGGCTGCCGAGTGGGACGTGCTGAGCGTGCTCACGTAGTGTCCTGTCCCTTTCTCGCAGGTGCCTGCAGAAGCAGCACAGAAACGAAGCTGTGTCTGAGGTTATCGGAAAACGCTGCACTTACTTGGGAGACGTGGGTCACTTTGTTTACCGAGTTTGGAAAATTTCCCGTACTACTACTTATGTTTTGGACTTAATTGAACTTGGACGTGGTCTGAGTTAGAACCACTTGTTTGGGGGAAGTATTCGTGGGTAACCTCTTTGAGGTATCTTGGCCTGTCTTTCCTCTTTAGTTGCACACAGCCTAATTCTAAGGTTTTGGTATTTTGGAAAAAGGTTTCTAGAGCAAAAGCTTGATCCTCACTTTGTGACTTTTTTTGTGTGACAGCTTTGACTTTTTTAAAGTGGAGCCAAATCTCATTCGGCAAACATGGCAGCCAGTTGCATCTTTATAACCCAACTGGCCTCTGGTGCTGCTGGCCTGGCACCCCCCAGTGCCGTAGGTTGGGGTCTCAGGAGTCAGGCAGGGCCAGCCTGGGGACGTGCGGGGGTGGGTGGGCCTGGGCAGGGAGAGTGGGGGTGTCCCACAGATCATGTTGTAGAAGCAAACCAGACAACCCTTACATCCAGAGCCGTGATGTCAAGGTTGAGGGCTGGTGGGTGGTGGGGGCTAAGTCCTGGAGGCTTAGGAAGGGGTCCTGAACGTGAGCTAGGAACTGTTGCTCAGAGCCTGGCTTCCATACGAATCAGGGTTGGGGACCAAAGCCCTGTGGTGTCCCCACCCTTCCTGCCCCGTCCCTGCCATCCCCTGACCCAGGCCAGTCACTGTTGGACTCTGGCCACCGTTCAGTGTCTCATCCACTTGGAAACGAGCCAGTCTTTTTTGCGAGGTCGGTTGACCGAGAACATATTTCTTCTTGATTGTAAATAGTTCTGTGTTTTTGTTTTACATGTGGGTGGAGGGAGGGTGGGGAATATAAATTTGTTGCATGAGTAAATGGGTCAGACCTTTAGTATAAGCATGCGCCCTTCTGACGGACAGGGCATTGTGTTGAACATAAGCACCTTGGTAACTAAACCCCTTTAAATAGCTATAAAGGTTTTAGTTCTGTATTGATTCAGTTACTGTAAAAGCTTGGGTTTATTTTTGTAGGACTTAATGGCTAAGAATTAGAACCTAGCAATGGGTTGCTCTGTTGGAGTAATGTAAATTGTAATTATAAATAAACGTGCAAACCTTTAAAACTTTCTTCTCTGCTCTGAGAGTAAAATTGTTCTGTTGGTTGTGCTGCTGGAGTCCTATCCTGTCTGCCGTGCCCGTCCCGAGGCAGGAGCTGTTCAGGCCTCGCGCTAATAGGCTCCTTGGCGACATCTGCTCTCGAGTGACGTTGACCCGGTTGGTCTGGGTAAAGGGCATGAGCCAGCCCGAGTGTGCAGCGGGCCAGCTTCCCAGAACAAGGGGCTCTGCTCTCCAGACAATGGGACAAGAGCTGGTTCTAAAAGCTCTGTCCACAGTAAACCTGCTTGGGAGATGCCTGCCCCCCACCCCAGGCTGCTTGGAGCTCCTCCTGTGTCCTCTGTGCCCTGTGGCCTGTTCCAGGGCTGGACCCCGCACCATCCAGAACAGCAGACGTGGCTGTTTGGACTTGAAAGCGCCCCGCATCACTGAAATGGGTTTCTGGGGGTCTTTGAAAGGCCCGCCCCATCCACCGGGTCACTGCTCCCTCGGTGCCTGCCTGTGGTTCCGCTGGGCCCAGAGCAGGCCCAAGCAGCAGGGGGCTGGCCTGCAACGGCACGGCACCGTGGTCAGTTTCACAAGTTCTCAGCAACCTTCCTTTTTGGGGGAAACAACTAACATCCTTGGCCAACAAAAAGTTAAAATCTCCCATAGTCAGATGCAGGTAGCCCAAACACGAATCCTTCACGAAGTAGGTGACTCAGCGGTCGCACTAGGCAGGTATTTCCTTTAGGCGATCTAAATATAGTCCCGTCACAGTTTACCACAATGACTAACTTCACTACTGACGCTCTATGCTGACGTTTTGACAATTCTACATTTTACACCAAGCTCAAAACGTATCTGGGCGTGTTTACTCCTTTCTAGATCGAATATATACGTGCCATTCAGTGAGAACCCAGCGAGGGAAGCTGCAGACGGAGGTGGGAGCAGCGCCCTGGAATCCCAAGGGTACAGCTGGCAGGTCAGCCGGCCCAGGGACTCAAAGAGCCCTTTGTGCCATCGCCCAGTGGGGCAGGGAGGGGTGCCCAACGGTGGTCCTGTCACCAGGACTGGTGGCAGAGCTTCCTGTGAAGCTGTGAAGCTGCAGGGGGGAGGGCGAGGCTGCTGCTGGCTGGAACCTGGAAGGGCCATCTCTGGCGGGGGAGCAAGCACAGGGGACAATCAGCACCAGGAACTCAAGGGAGAACACACAAGTGCGAAGACTTGATCTAGGGAAACCAGAAACGACTCGTTCTGAACACGGCTGCTGCTCTGTGGGATCCTGAGTGAAAACCAACTGGGCGCCACGTGTTCCCTGACGTGTGTCTGTCAGGAAGGAACAAGGTCCGTCTGCTAGCCCCTCTGGGAAGAGAAACTCGGGAGTCTCGGCGTCTGTCTCTAATGCCGCGCGCCTGTCTACAGCAGCCGTCACGTTTGGCGTGCGCTCCTAGCACTGCTGGACTCCCAAACCAAAAAGTTGGACGTCCCTGGCCCGCCACCAGTAGCTTGGCGACTTCGAGACTGGCGACAAGAGCACAGAGGAGAGCGCACACTAAGGAGAGCGCTCAGACGCAGCGAGGGGAAGACCCCCTTTCTACAGAGCCGTCCTGATTGCACCCAAGAGACACACGCTCTGAAGAAAAGGTTAACAAATAGGAAGTTTATTGCAGGACCCTTGGACAGTAGATGAGTGGAGGGAAATGCCTATGTATCACTTTGAAAATCCATGATTTGAATTTAAAAATCAATTCAAGATTTCATCATCATGATGCTTTCTTCTGTTTCTTCTTTTCGTTTTCCTCCTTCTCTTTCTCAATTTCAGCAACATACTTCTCAATTTCTTCAGGATTTAAAATCTACCAAAGAAAGTTTACAGTTAGTCTCCAAAGCACACAAGGCACCAGGGAACCAGCACCCCCTCTCCCCTGGGGAGGAAAGCTCTGGGGCTCCGGCCACATGCACCTCACAGCAGCTTCTAACAGAAAAACTAGGGTGTGCGTGCCTGATCCGGGTGACACCGGTCAGCTTGCCACAGGTCTGCAGCAGCTTTTCAATGTGCCCAGCAGCCACGCGAGCCCCAGCCTCCCCCGGAGACCCACACGATGATGCTTACTCTTCCACTTGTTTGTGGGGAGCCTTGGGAAGAAATCTCCTGGAGCACAAGCGCCACCGGAGTAGGGTCCCTGTTCCCACCCGCCCCCCCCGCCCCCACCCCCACCCCATCCCTGGGGATGCTCCAGAGCGAAGGACACCAGACGACCTCAGTGATTACCTTGAGGGGTTGATCACGTCTCATGACAGCCAATTCAATGTTTTTGCCGCCAGACTGAACCACCTTGGAAAGCAAAGAATAAGGCCAGGTGCCTACCTGCATGGCACCGGCACCACCCGCCCCGCCACCCCTGCTTCCACACGGCAGCTAGGCTCCCAGCCCCCCTGCCCCCCCCCCCCCCCCCCCCCCAAGCCCAACAGCTGGACGCCAGCCTGGCCTTCTGGCCACTCCCCTGCCTCTTTGGCTTTACTTGCCAGCATCTCCCAAGTGCTGACAAAGCCCAAGGCCACAGCTCCCAGCCACTAGTCCCCATTCTCCTCATCCCCCAATCTTAGCAGCGGTGTGCTCTGAGTGGAAAGTTCCACACCTGCTGGCTCCCGTCCTGCCTCTGCAGCTCCTCACCTGAGCGTGCCCTCGGACCAGCAACTCGGTCCTTGATAGCCCCAGCCGCATGAGGGAGCTGACAGCACCGGGGCAGGGCCCGCCGAGCAAGCCCTGGGGCGCCCAGCATTACCGCCGGCGGCCTCACCGCCCCCGCTCCTGCTGCCTGCGCACAGCCGCCCACTTCTGTGCTGTCCATTCTGCCCAGTCCAAGCACCAGATTTCAAATGCAAACGTACTTCCAGGAGGGCCTTGATAACCAACTTAATGGTCAGGTCGTCTGTCTCGATGGCTTCGTCAGTGTAATTCTTCTCCAGAAACTCACGCACGGACTTGGCGCCCCGGCCTATAGCATTAGCCTGAAAGAGGAATGTGTTCTATGGTGCGGGGCACGGCAATCCAGAACCGGCCCGAGGACAAGACCGCAGCTGCCTGGGCCAGCCGTGTCAGAGGCAGCCTGGCCCCTTGGTCCTGCCCTATGGACTCCTTTCCCAAAGAGCTCTTTGGAACTGGTGCTGATCCTCAGCCACGAGTGGGATTCTCCTCTGTTACCGAAAGACACACGGGTGACTGTGCTTCGTGCCACATACCCCCACTGCTCCCTATCCTTGGACGTGGTCTCAAACAGCAACGTCTAATGACTCCTTCGCTCTATCAGCAGGAGCGTCACAGAACAAACGGGCAGTGAGGACGCGGGCACGCGCACCCGCAGGGCACGGCCTCCTTACACCAGCAGGAGACCCGGTACCTTCCGGTGGCCTCTGCAACTTTTTACTGGCGAGACCGCCCGAAGACCCTCCGTTTTGTCAGGGCCTCACCTTCCAGGCATGGTACGTGCCCGAGGGGTCCGTCTGATAGAGTCTGGGGGTGCCGTCAAAGTCGAAACCCACAATGAGGGCGGAGATGCCGAACGGCCTGCGCCCGTTGCTCTGCGTGTAGCGCTGGCAGGAGAAGGGACATGTTAATGCCTCAGCACGAAAGGCCCCGTGGAACCCACCCTAAGTCCTCTCTCTCTCCCTCTCTCTCTCTCTCAGCACGAAAGGCCCCGTGGAACCCACCCTCAGTCCTCTCTCTCTCTCTCTCTCTCTCTCTCACACACACACACACACACACACACACACACACACACACACACACACACACACACACACGGCGTTCCCAACAGCTGAGCCTTCGCTGAAGAAATGGAGACATTCAAGTTATCTGCAGTTCCAACGATGAGGGACGTGAGCCCGGACTGCTCAGCGGTCCTCCTTCTCTTGTGCAGTTTGGCTCAGAAAGGTGTGCAAGACCTGCCCACCACCGAACGCATCGTAGAGCACAACTGAGACCGCTGGAACCACTCTGACAACACACGCGCTTTGGCTACACACTTGACTTTAAAATGACAGCACGTCACCAGAGGGTGGAGGTGGCTCTCAGCTCCTCCCAAATGCTTGGAAGCCAACCGTTCAGGACATCAAGACAGAGACTATCACG